TGGTTGATCTAAATTAGCTGTGGATTATGTAGCTACATTTTTCATGCATGCAGGTTGAGATACCTGGAAAAGGTTTTTAACCATGCATGACATTCTTTTCCTCATTTCATTGTGACTTCTTGATAATGCCACTTATCATATGAGGTCATATGATGGGGGGTCATTTTCTGATCAACATAAGCTATAGGTTGTCTCTCTAGCTCTATTATTTACAGAGATATCTAGTCAAATGTGTTTTTTGGATGATCGTTCTGGAGATATACCCCCAAGTAATAATCCCACAAACACACATACAAACAGGGATAAAACAACAACCTTCTTTTGGGGTAAGGCAGCATACAGGGTAAAAAAAAAAGGTAAAAACTGTACTTATATATTGAATAATTCTACAAAAATGCATCTTTCCATCTCAAGTGATGATTTACCTCCTGTTGTGTCGATGGAAATTTTGGAAACGCTGCACTTTTCATCACAAATCTCAGCATCATCCTTATCTTGGAGGTGACACTCCACACAGCTCCTGATATTAAGACAATTTGAGAAACAATCAAAAAAAGACAGTTTTACGTCAGAGCTTGAGGTTTAATGAGGCGTCAATCACAGTGTTGGTCACTTATCACAAGTTTTCCCAAGGCTTCATTCACTCTCTTACACCCGTCTCCTCTTCAACAGTGATATCAAATGGCTCTAGGCCTGACAGCTGCTTTGCAAAGGAGACAGGAAATCTCTTAGTGCTCTGCTGAGGACATTTGTCTTTTGATGTCACATGGAAGGTGTAGACACATGTGAACAAGGGGACCAGAAACTGATACGTCTGAACTCCAGAGAACAGACAGATCATGTCGTGTAAAGAGACAACATCTTATATCTTTCAGGTAAAGAAACAACAATTCAAGAGGTAAAGCCGACAAAAAAGCCTTTCCACTGAACCAGTATTCACTTTTCAAAAGCTGGTGGCATGAATGTGTTCTCACCTTGCAGAGCTACAGGCGTCTCCGCATGTCAGGCACTTCTCACACTTGTCCCCAGACGCTCCGGGTAAAGAGCAGACACAGTGGCCACACTCACATTTCCCTCTGCCGCTGCAGACAGTGCCATCCTCCGACATGCACGCTTCAGTGCTGGTACTGCAGTTGCAATACTCCCCCGTCCAACCACTTTGACAGTGACAATCCCCGCAGTCGCACACTCCGTGGCCTGAAAGACACACATGAAGTCAAATGAAAGGCTCACCACTGGATCATCATCACATCCGTGAGTAATCGCTCACCTCCACAGAGTTCTCCCCGGAAGCGAACACAGGAATAGTTGTCACACTCGCAGTAAGGTCCATAGATGCGGCCGAAGCTGGATGCATGACACACACACTGTCCGCAGTAGCACTGCCCTTGATTGCTGCATACTTCGGACTCGTTGCTGGCAAGGCAGTTGCTCAACAAAGCGCTCTCCTCGTTGCACTCGCACTGTGCTCCCAGAAAACCCGGCTGGCACACGCACACGCCACACTGGAACTCCCCCTGGCCTTCGGTGCACTGGCTGCTGTTTGCTTCAGGAGGCTGCCGGCAGTCACACGAGCAAAGAGACTCCAGTTCCACCTCCAAACTGTCCTGCAGGCCCACCGCCTTGAGGGAGAAGTGTCTAACTCCTGACAGGCATCCTGGGAGCTCCACAGACACATTGAACACGACCTGAGGAGCAAAGAGGACGTCAGAGTAAGACCATGAACTAGTTTGAACAAGTTTCGTCTGTGTAATCAAAGCCGGACAGTTATTATTCTATTAAAAACCACATCAGTGAACAACACTGTTGCACTGGGTGATAGTTCAATCCCACGTAGCAAGCGTACACTTTTGAATTTGAGTATCAGGCTTTAACTCAACCAAACAGCTGTTCACATGTAAAAACTTGCATTAAATCTTTCTGGTCATGTCCAACTACAGCTCTGATGCTAGTCAACAGCAGTAAGGGCAGGACAAGCTGGTGATCATGGATATCCTCCATCAGATCACTTCCCTTCCTGATCCTCCTTTGACTCATGCTCACACTTTCCCTCATGTGTCACACCTTTGTCTAATTGTCTCCACGTTTAGAATCTGAGTTTCTCTTTAGTTACACCTTTGAGTTCCAGCACTTTATTAGTTGAGTTCCTACATGTATGAGCTCTCTGCCTCGAGTTGCTTGCCTCTAGCCAGAGGCTTTTTGATAACACTGCTTCTGTCACTTTTATGTCATGGTCACATTCTATCTCTCTTTTCTTTATCTTGTCTGTGAGCGATTGCTTTACTGCTCTTGTCTTTAGACTTGTTAGTGAACCACATTACACCAGCTTGCATGAAAGGTGGCATTCAAATGCAAAGAAAGGGCAATTTAGAGTAAAAGTGACTGACCGTCTGCCCTGGTTTGACGTTGGAGCAATGTTTTAGGTCAGGCAGGATAGTACCATTGGGGCAAATGGCTGTGAAGGACATCTGCAGTTCCTCTGTGTCTCCTTGGACCTCTAGTTCGATCTCTGAGCGCAGTTCCTGGAAAAGAGTGCATAATAATTGCAGTTCCCTGTATGGAAATGCCATCGTCAGCACAGACAGGAACGAAGCAGAAAAGTTCCCTCTACAATACAGCAAAAAACAAATCACCAAGAGCCAACAATCAAACCAATTCTTGCTAACTTTTGTTACAATGAGGTGGGGTTTCCAGGACTTTAAGTGGGATTATACTTTCAACCTGTGCTGACCTGTGACATGCCAGGAAACGTCTGAACCCACCTATAACTAACTCTCCCTGGGTGAGTCATCGTGCCAGGTGTGCTGTGCTCATATGAATTGCCTGAGGAAAGAGTGAGAGCTCACCTCAGCTGGAGGACATGCTGTGTTTGACTGGCTAATGAACTCTGTGACCGACTGTCTAGGTGCTAACAGAGGGTTAACTGTGCATTTCCTGCCGGGCCTGTGGTTGCACTGTCTCCAGCGTTGCTAAGGCGGAGAAAATAGGGGGACAGTCGTGGGATACACCCAACTGAAGGGAGATTAAGGTAAAACAGATTCAAAAGACTTGGGAGTGTTTGTCAGTAAATATGCTGCAGGGTAATTGAAGTGGGGCGGCTAAACAATCTAGCCACTGAGCAACAAACATTAATCCAAAATTGCAGGTAAGTGTAAATACTAATCATCTGTCCTCCATCACTAAATGTCTCTTTTTACTTTGTTTAATCTACAATCAGTGTGATAACAGGCTCTGCTCTCTGCAGCGTGGTTAACGTGGCAGCGGCCAAAAGTGGCTGAAAGCAACACAACTGATGAAGTAAAGGACTGCCGACTCGCCACCAGCCACTGCCGCCAGGGGGGAGATTTACAAAAAAGCAGGACACAGTGTGCAAGAGGTACAGAGCCAGAGAGACACTGGAAGAGAGAGCGAGCGAGGGGGGGAAGAAAAAAGCAAATCAGAGTCGGCGGGGCGAGCAGATCAAACGGCTGGGACAAGCAGAGACTCGCTGTCGAACATGCTGATGCAAAGCACAGGGATGGTGGACGGAAAAATGTAATAGGAGAAAGAATGAAAAGAGAGAAGTGAGAGAATGAGAAGGCAGAGATACTGTCAGTAGCTGTGATTTAAAAGTGTCTGTGTTCATGCATGCTTTAAGTTTGTGTGTTTGGATAAAACTTGGTGCAAGCTTAATACATATACAATTATGATTAAATTACATTCAACAGTTATATCCTGCTTTCACGACGGCAGGTGTTTTCAGTTTTATTTCACATGACCAGTGCTTCTACACACACACACAGACACACACTCTACCCACACATCACCAAGACTGTTTATTTACTTTGTACGCTGTTACAATCAGTTCCAGGATGTTCCTCGAATCTGTCGCCACAGCTCCGACTGTGGCGCCAGGTATGAGATTTGCATAGTTCTATGATGGAAAAAAAACAAATAAAAAACACCGGATAAACCGCACAAGCAAAGTTAAAAAGGTGAACAGACCTGACTCAGAAAAAGATTGTGGGAGAATAGAGGGCTAGTTCTAACAGGTTCAATGAGAAGGTAGCTCAATGCATGTTAACATCAGTAAAAACTGTCCTCACACAAAGTTCTCCAGTGTGGATTTATTCTACCACAAAGAACTGTGAACCTTTACAGGACGGAGCTGTTACCTTATAGTTGTGTATCTGATCCTCTGTCACAGCAAATATCAGCAGGATGTTGTTCTCCATGACTTTATCAATCAGCTGACCGAGAGTTGGATACTCCTGAAAAAAAACAAACATGGTGATAAGTAAACTGAGTTTCAAGAAAGAACATTTAAATAATACTATTTCTATATGATTTGTCTTTCTGACATGAAACTAAAACAAGAGGGATCGTTGTGGGTTTACCTGTATTGTGGACATGGAGTACTCATTGTTGACATCCAGGTGACACTGGCCGTCATTGGGGATCACGATGCCGGCCATCTTACTGTCCATCCCAAAGTGTGAGTCAGCATCACTGACGAACACCAGCAAACGCATTGAATCATTCCTCCAGCCTATCTTGTCCTATCAGGAGACACTTCATCAACAGGGGGCCACTAACAACACAGAGTCACAAAGTAACCACACATCTAGGTTCATATATTTAAATAAAATAGAAATCTTACCCCACAAACAGCTGCCTGCATGACAGCGTCAAAGCCACCCTCTGGCACATCGATGTTTGCTGACACACGCTGCTTTGCAATGATCTCATTGAACCTGTCGGTGCTGCTCGTCAGAGACAGGACGTGTTTATAGCCAAACGTTGGCAGGCAGGTTGAACCCACGCCACTGTGACACATCATGAGACAAACATTAGAAAAGTCCAATCTCAGGGTTGAGGATGTCGTTGGAAGTCTCTGGACGTTTTGTTGTTTACCTGCAGGGGTTGGCCAGCTCCTCCTCTGTGATCCTGATGAAAGGCAGGACAGGTTTCTCCACGAAAGAACCAAAGCCCATGCGAAATTTACTGGTGAGGTTGGCCATCTCTTTAGACAGAGAGGAGCCCAAGTCTTTGATCATCTCCAGATCATCGATCATGGACGCTGACAGGTCCATCAGATAGTACACATCCACAGGATAGTCCTCTGTGTGTTGAATCTTGACCTGAAACGTCACCTGACTGCCTGTGCAAAAATCAAAATCACACACCTTACTTTTTGTATGAAAAAAAGCCTCTACTTTGAGAAAGTTCAAAAACACTTTTTGTTGCATACCAGCTCGCAGCTTGAGGGCCATCTTCTGTGGAGAGATCTGGGTGCTGTTAGCGCTGTCTGTCTTCTTCCCGAGTGGGTGATCAAGGAGGATTTGACCTTCAGAGACTGGGAACTCCAGCTGGCTCCTGGCACATCCCTTTTCTTGCAAGATATCCAGTGTGTCACATCTTTCGCTGACTGAGAACCAGTCTGTGAAGTTCTGAGAAATGAGTAATAAGTAGTTTTATGCAATCCTGCTCATTGTGTCACAATCTGTAATAATCCAAAGGTGCAATCTCTCAAATACTGAATGATCTGCATCCGAAAACCATGCATTTGTGGTCATCTGCCTGTTGTGGTGGTGTCATGCATGCAAACCCATCTGACTGCTTACCTCCTGTGTGCACCAGGCACAGTGAGGACTGAGCTGCAGACATTGGTCACAAGTCAAAGCGCCGCCAGCCGAACATGATCCTGCAGCAAACATGAACACAGTTAGGGTCAAGGAACCACAGGAACCACCTGAGTTCCCCTGCCAAGAGTTAAAAGTCACTGCGCAGATTTGTGTGAAGTTTTTGGACATGATAAAATGTCAAAGTGAAGACCATCACAATACTTTATTAAGATGTGGCCTATAAATACTTTAAAGGTTCAGAGTATGTATGCTGAATACCGCTCATCTCACCCTCCCCTTCCATGTAAATATAAAGTTTTTAAATACAAAGGGCCCATTCTATACTAAAGAAAACCACAATTCATACAATTTAGATGAAACACTCCGGTGAAAACATCTTTATTTTATATACATTTTCTGCCAAAATCCCTTTCACCTAAATCTGACACACCAAACCTTTAAATACTATCAAGTGGTATCAGTAATAATAATAGAACCCTTGATAAAATGCTTTGTTGAAATATGCTTTTCACAATATCCTCTCATGTTAACCAGTCATAAATACCAAGACAGGATTTATGGCATATAGTTGAGAAGCTGTGACTCTTTATTGTGTCATTATAAACGTGTTGCCCTTGTTTTTTTCTTACCTTCCACGGTGTTGATCCAGTAGAGGAGAATCAGCAGAATAAGCCCCATTAGTCCGTGAGGTTACTGGTTGACAGGGAACAGAAGAAGAGTTTGTCAAGTTGTCTCATATTTACCGGTGTGAAACGGAATCTGCAACATGTCCCCGGTCCTCCGAACCGAGTGCACCGCAGGCTGGGGAGGAGCGCACTGCCGCTCCGCGCTACCTGCAGAGGACGAGGAGGTGAGAGGCGCGTTCACCTGCCCTGCCTTTATATGTCCACTTCCGCTCAGGTGAGCGAGCCAGGCGCGCGCGAGGAGAGTTCAGAGTTTGTGAATGTGTGTGTGTGTGTGTGTGTGTGTGTGTGCTGACTACGGCAAAAAAATGATGTCAAGAAAAAATCTCACCTCAGCCGATATCGATAATTACCGCGATAAATTGCACAATATTATTTCTTTGAAGTTCAAAGAGATTTTTGCTCCTGAGAGTTGAGTGTGGTTTGAGCAGAGAGGGGAAAAAACTTGATGAACACCTGATTTATCTCATAATTCTATTTGACTTCCTCATGCTTTTGAGTTTACTATCTCTCTTTTTTTCTTTTTTTTCCATTTAGATTTTTTGGATTCCATCAGTCATCGTTTGATTTACTTTGTTATTTAGTATATATATTTTATAATTTATGTTTTATATTTTATACTTTATATTTTAGTTTGTTTGGTTTATTTTACAAGTATAATACATTTTATAGTATTTCACTTTTTTCTGTAAGTTATAATCAAGATTAACTATTTCATAATTTTTTGACTCTGTGTGCCCTAAGTTGAAGCTGATCTTGTTTTTGGCTCAAATCAATATTTTTGAGATACTTTTATATCAATCAATATCAATAATCATCATAAATAAAGTATCATGGAAATTCATATAATACCAATTTCCACTGATTTAACTGACAGATATATCTGATAATATTTGAATATCTAACATTTATCTTTTTACAGCAGTATCACATTCAACGACAGTCTTAATGTAAATGTTTGTCAGACCATCTATACATCCAGCTACAGTTATGATTTAGCATAATATTATGCCAAAACACGAAACTAATTGAATTATTTTAAGGTCAAGCACTGGCATTTTTAATTAACATTCTAATCCTGTGCTCAGACTACAGCAATGCAGCAGTTCAATACACTACAAGGCTGTTGAGGCCTTAATAAACAGTCATATCCTGGCATGAGCTGATTCAGCGATACACACGTGAGCATTTATATTTTAATTATAATGAAATTATGCTTGTGAATCTCTGTGAAGGACAAATGTGGGTCATAACTTAAATACAAACCAAAACACAATACTTTGAGCCACAGTGATTCTTTATCAGGGAGAAACACATCTCTAAACTCATAAAGCCCGAGAAGGTAAAATGATCATTTGAAGATTCATTTTCACCTTTCTTAATCATCTTACTACCCCCCAGACATTTTGGGGTCAACCCCTTGGTTTTGAACCACTGGACAAAAATACTGACTGTTAATGTTAATAGTTAAAACTACCTTCACCTAAACCAGCAGTAAAACATTGTTTACGCATTGAAGCATCACTATTACAATCTTATAATGAAACAATATATCATTACTTTTGATACTCTAAGAAAGTTTTCTGGTTAAAATTTGAAGACTTTTATTTATAATGGGATATTTTTATTTTAACTATGACTTAGATTACGTATCTGATTACGTTTTCCTCTACAGAATTAATGAGTCAACTGAACTTTGGCCAAACAAGAGTAATAGAATTCAGACAGGCCACGCCGTAAGCAAATAGAACCTGTAGACTCCCAGACACTATAACAGAAGATATGTTAATCTTTAACACAAGAACCTGAATAAGTGTCATTGTCGAGCAAACATTTTTGCAGTTTGACAAAAACAACCATGCAGGCCTATCACAAGATATGAAATATGACTGTGTGCATGACGTGTGTACAATATGAGGGGAAGGAGGGTGCAGTTGCGTAGGTGTTGTGCCGTTGACAGCTGCAGCCAGAATATCTCGTAGCTTGTCACAACTCAGAGGAATCTCACAATTCAGCACCACACCCCTCTGGATCTGGGTGAGTCCCCATCTGTTACCCCAAACCCCCTCTTGCCCCTCTCCTCTTCTCTCAGTGGGACCCCCCTCTTCCCTCAGCTCTCTGTATTTTGATGCACCTTACCCAGTATCCTTCTGGGAAGTGTCCATCCGTGAAACTGATATTTCATCCGTACTTCCTTTGGCTTGATTCCTCTCATTTGCTTGTTTACCTTTGGTTTGCTGCTCTCTCCTCTCCAGTTTTCATTTCTCATCACTTGTTATTATTCTCTGAAATTCTCAAGAAATACCTCAACATAATGATATCACACTACGGTTACTGTTCTTGTTACTTCTCATTTCACAGTTATTTCATGTCGTGGATGAGATAGAGTGGGTTGGATGTTTAGGGTTTCAGAAAAAATGAACCATGTATCTGACAGCAGTGTTTTAAGCAGTATCAGTATCAGCCTCATCAAAATTCAACCATCAATAAATTATTCCCCCTCATGTCACTCTCTCAGCACTACACTCTTACTCCGCATAGAAATGGAGGTGTAATCCCTCAATGAATCAGCTCACCTTCAGGGGCGTCCTCTGATAACATGCTGTCCCGTCTCAGTCTGTCTTCCTTGTCATCAAGTGAAAAATGGAGAGAAACAGAGAAGCATCAAGCCGATACATTCAGTCCCATTGTATCCCAGCAGTCGTCAGAGTAACAGTAAACCTATTGTAACGGCGCCCTTTATGAAGCATGGCGCTAGGGTGACCCTGCTGCCCATGCTCCTTGGCTCATGTGTGCTTGTGTGAGTGTAAGTGTGTGTGTGTGTGTGTGTG